CAGACTTCCAAGAAATAGCCCCTCCAGCCAGCGTAAACACATATCCTGATGTAGAGCGCTTGCTATCCTGACATCCAGCAAAATCGGAATCAGAGTATCCAACGATCTCCAAGCTCTCCGACCTCCGATAAGTGAGCATGTAATCCATTGTTCTCCTTAGATAACGCATTACGCGTTTGGTTGCTTTCCAGTGTTTCTCTCCTGGATTGCTCAAATATCTGCCCAAAACTCCCACTATAAATGCTATATCGGGACGAGTACAAACTTGAGCATACATAAGACTTCCTACTGCCGACGCATAACGAATCTTTTGCATCTCAGATTTCTCATGATCATTATTGGGACACTGTTTGAGACTGAATTTCTCGACCTTAGACATAGGGGTGTCAAGTGGTTTGCTACCTTTCATGCCGAATCTTCCCAAAACCATATCGATATAGCTCTTTTGTGATAATCCAAGAATACCTTGAGAACGATCTCTTAGTATTTGGATCCCTAATACAAAAGAGGCATCACCAACATCTTTCATTTCGAATTTCTTCGACAGAAATCTCTTGGTTTCGTGCAATAAGCCTATATCATTGCTCGCAAGAAGAATATCATCGACATATAAAACCAAAAAGACATATTTACTCCCACTAAACTTATAGTATACACGGTCATCAACGACATTTACCTCGAAGCCGAAAGAGGTGATGACTTGATGAAACTTATGATACCATTGACGAGATGCCTGCTTAAGACCGTAGATGGATTTCTTTAGTTTGCATACCATAACTTTGGGTCTCCAGACACAAAGTTGTCAGGCTGCTTCATATAAATTGTTTCCTCAATATCACCATTGAGAAAAGCGGTCTTTACATCCATCTGGTGTAGCTCTAAATCAAAATGAGCTACAAGTGCCATAATGGTCCTAAAAGAGTCTTTCGATGAAACTGGAGAGAAAGTCTCTTTGTAGTCAACGCCTTCTCTTTGAGTGAAACCTTTGGCGACTAGACGAGCCTTATATCTTCCGATTTTGCCTTGAGAATCCCTTTTGGTTTTAAATATCCATTTACAACCAATAGGTTTCGCACCTTTAGGCAATTCGACAAGATCCCAAACATCATTGTCACTCATAGACTTCATCTCATCATTCATGGCGTCAATCCATTTTTGAGAGTTAGAACTACGCATGGCTTGACCAATTGTGACCGGGTCATCCTCAGTCAAACCAGCGCCATCCTCATGTTCTTGGAGAAATACTATATAGTCATCTTAAATAGCGTTTCTCCTCTCTCTAGTGGATCTCCTTAGTGGCACCTCTTGAGGTTGTTGAGTTTGATCCACAGCCAATGGAGGAATGATCTCAATGTTGTCTTGATTTGGAACAATGTTTTCAATAGGAGTCTCAACATTGTTCTCAATTACCGGAGTTGTATCTTGAACAACGATAGGTAAAGAAACCAAATCATTGCCAACTCTGGATTCTTTCTCAAAGACAACATTCTTATGACCTCTTCCCTCCCAAACTCAATATCCTCAAGAAATTTGGCATTTCCCGTCTCGAAAAAAGTTCTTGATGTGGGGTGGTAAAACTTATATCCCCGTGAGTGCTCAGAGTAACCAACAAAATAACAGCCAACTGTTCTTGAGTCCAGTTTTCCTTCATGCGGCCTCTAAGGTCGTGCCTCAGCTGGACAACCCCATATATGCAAGTGCCTAATGCTAGGCTTCTTGCTTATCCAGAGTTCGTAAGGGGCTTTGTTAACTGATTTACTTGGTACTCGATTGAGAATATACACTGAGGTCTTTAATGCTTCTCCCCAAAGTGACTCTGGCAAAGAAGAATGACTAATCATACTTCTTACCATATCCTTAAGAGTTCAGTTTCGTCGTTCGACAACACCATTCATGCGAGGTGACCCAGGCATTGTGTATTGCGGAACGATTCCACACTCTTTGAGGAAAAGTGCAAAGGGTCCTGGACATTGTTCTCCTGATCCATCAAATCGACCGTAGTATTCACCTCCACGATCCGATCTAACAGCCTTAATTTTCTTCCCAAGTTGAAGTTCTACTTCAGCTTTGAAAGACTTGAAAACGTCCAATGATTGGGATTTCTCATGAATCAAATATAGGTAGCCAAAACGAGAGTAATCGTCTATGAACGTAATGAAATAGCGTTGTCCATTCCAAGAAGCCGTAGGGAAAGGACCGCATATGTCGGTGTGAATAAGTTCTAAGACTTCCTTAGCTCGTTCGGCTCCTAATTTCCTCATATTAGTTTGTTTCCCTTTGATACATTCAACACAAACTTGAAAGTCTGCAAGATCTAAGGGATCGAGGATTCCATTGGATATAAGCCTTTGTATTCTTTGTTTAGAGACATGGCCTAATCGCTTATGCCATAAAATGGCAGAATCCCCAGAAAATTTTCTGTTTGTACCTCTTGAAGTAGATTGCAGAATGACATTATTGGAACTTACAAGATCAAGCATATAAAGATTATCAATTAAAGAGCCAATACCAATAAAATTAGAATTTTGAAAGAGACTAACTTTATTATTTCCAAAAGACCAGGAAAATTCGAGTTTATCCAAAGCAGAAATAGAAACCAAATTCCGTCTAAATGACGGTACGACAAATGTCTCAAACAAATCTAAATAACAGTCACTCTTTAAATGCAATCTAAAGGTTCCAATAGCCTCTACTGCAACTTTATTTCCATCGCCCACAAAGATGAATCTTTCAGCATCACTTGGCAACCGGCCCCACAGGCAACCCTGCAAAGACATACTTATATGAGTAGTAGCTCCCGAATCTACCCACCAAGTATCTTTAGGTACAAAGGATAAATTAACCTCAAAACAAACTAAAGTTAGAGATATATCCTTCTTAACACGCCATGCAGCGTACTTGGAGCAATCTTTCTTTATATGCCCCGTCTTCTTGCAGAAGTAGCATGTCGATTCCTCAGGTTCTATCTTTTGCTTCTTCTGCGTTGAAGCAGCAACCGTAGTGACCTTAGGTCCCTTTCTCTTCTTGCTTTGAGCATTTGAGGCCAAATGAGCACTTTCAACCCTATCTCTCTGCACTCTCTCTTCCTCTTGCACACAGTGAGATATAAGCTCATTAAGGGACCATTTGTCCTTTTGAGTGTTATAACTCACTTTGAATTGCCCAAAGTGTGCAGGGAGAGAGATCAAAACCAAGTGCATGAGCAATTCCTCAGAAAGCTCTAACTTTAGTGCCTTAAGTTTTGATGCGAGATTGGACATTTCCATAATGTACTCCCTTATGTTCCCTTTGCCTTTGTACCTTATGAAAACGAGTTTAGCCAAAAGACTACTCGTCTCCGCTTTTTCATTTTTGGCAAAGTATTACTTAACAGCCTCAAGGAACAGTTTGGCGTTCTCACTCTCAGCAATAGAGCCACGAAACGCTTCCGGAATGGAGCGCTTCATGATCATCATGCACATTCGGTTAGAGCGATCCCACTTTTCAATTTTAACCTCATTCGGGTTTTCAGCCGTAGCAGTGGGGCGCTCAGACCGAAGTGCCAGATCCAAATCCATACAAGCGAGAACAATTTCTACGGTCTCTTTCCAATTCTTAAAATTCGTCCCGTTAAGCATTGGGATGTTGTTAATTTGAGCAGAAACATTTGGAGCTGTAGCAACTAAAACAATAGGGAACAATATAAGCATACTCACAAAATATTCAATAATAATATAAATTATGCATGAACAAATAATACAAATTGGGGACCCATCTCAAGACACCTAGCGCAACATTAATCTCGTCTATGGACAGAAAATTAACTGCAGTGGTAATCTTGGTGTAACAATCAAGTATTGATAATAAGTTCTGTCAAACAAAGTCTATCTATGGACCGACTAATGTTCACATGAAAATACCGCACAATTATCACATACTTATCATCACATGTGTGTAATTATTTGGCCAAACTGTGTCTACCTATGGGCTGATCACAGAACGCATAAATAATAACACACGACATCTATGTAATTTTAATAAAATCGCTCTCCACATACAGAGGCTGCTATGGCAGCATGATGTTTTGATTAATTAAATTAAAAATTACTAGACTAATTAAATTATTTAACTTAATTAAACGACATAAAAGTCTCCCCAATTCAATTTAATTAAAAGCCTATAAACTAAATTAGACTTTTATTTAATCAAGTCCAAAAACAAATTTGGAGCTTCAGCCTTTAAGACATAACATCATATAGTAAAAAGGAGGGGAATTGGGGAACCAGTATTAATCCTCCTTTTTAAAGAAGAAGAACATCATATAGTAAAGACACATATTACCGTATCAAACAATTTAGCAATAAACTCAACTTCAATTACTAAATTGGCCCACAAGTAATGTAAATGTTTGGCCCAAAATTCATCCACGAAAGCAACACACAAACTTCCCCAGGACTTTTTTTTATTAAAATATGTAACATAATGGTCCCAGCATGATGACGCATGTACAAGGCCCACAAATTCTTCATGAATTTTATTTTCAAAAACCAGATCAAGTGAATTGAAATTTGCGAACAGGACACAATAAGCAATACATAAATCTGGATCCATCATCCATTCATAAAAAACTATGCGCCGAATAATAAAAGATGGACACGAATTTCTAGGCGTGATCAGAAGGCAACACAACTTTTAGGGTGAGTTTGGTTGGCAGGGGTTTATTAGGCTTGATATAATCACTTTGATATTATCAAAGGCTATCTACTAATTCAACTTGACCAATAACTTGTTTGGTTGGTTATTGATAATTGTAACTTTTAAGTTGAAATTATTATTTTCCCCTTCATGATAATTAAATTTTCAAATCTTACCCACTGCAAAATCAGATTTCTTCACCGAGAGACGATGAAATTGACATAAATTCCAACGTGATTATCGATAATATCATTAAATTCCTGGTTCATGAAGCAGTAAAATTTGACTCCCAACACGTAATTATCCATATTCCTGGTGAACTTCAGAAGCCCTAGATTCAACATCGAGCTCGAGCCATCGATCCTCGCATGCGGCACGAAGAGGAAAACTAGGTTGTGCCTGCGGAGCAAGCCTCGTACGGTGCCATGGAAAATATAAACAAAGTCGATTCGAATTGTAAAGAGTGAACGAGTCGGCGCCATGACAATTGTCTCGTGAAAATTGGGAAAGAAAGGGGAAGGAAATTGGGGAAGAAAGGGAAAATTGGGGAAGGAAATTGGACGGAGAAGAAAATGGGGAAGAAAGGGGAATGAAATTGGGCAAGGAAACTGGGGAAGAAATGGGAAGAAAAAAACCCGATAAAAAAAAGGGGGAAGAAAATTGGAAAAGAATGTGGAGATTGGGGAAGAAAGGGGCTGGACGAAAGGGGAAGATGGAAAGAAATTAGGGAAGAAATTGGAGGAGGGAAGATGGATAATTTAGGTGTCTTATTGATTTAATAATAAATGATACCTCATCCCATCATAATGGTAGGATACGGAATACAAAATAAAGAGACTAACAACCGGGCTTTTGCGGGTTAAACGGGCTATACAAAGGTCAACCAAACAAAATAAACAACTTGATATATTAACAAATGGTGGGATATCAAGCCTAATCATGCCTACCAAACGCACCCTTATTCTACTGTGTTCAAGCAAAAACGTATAAACACAGATATATAAATAATTCAGATCTAGCAATCGATGACTGCTCTGATACCATTTGTAGGAATTTAAAATCACATAATATAAATTCAATAACAATTATCCTAGAACATGCTTTAATTCTAAGAAAATCAACATCGCTCTAGATCTGAAAGATTATTAGAAATACCTGGATCCATTGAGTTTCTTTTGCGGAACACGAACTCGATTGATTAATTGGATCAACTGGTATTATGGTCTTCCTCAACTAAATCGCCTTATTCCTCAAGATGAGACCGACGTCTTCTTTCAGATGGGGAGAAGAGAAAACTGTTTGATTTAGTGTATTGGGGACCATAACCAAGAGGGTCTTTATATACTACTAGGGTAGGCCACCCATTATCACCTAACCCTAGTAATATCAGGTATCCACCCATTAGCCCATATCAATTTACGTAGCCCTAGGACTCTAATTTATTTAGATCACTTAATTGAGTCCATTAATTAATTGAATAGCTAATATAATTGTATATAATATGTTGCCCATAATTAGATTATATATAGGAAATAAAATATTTCCTAACATTGACTTCACCTATAAATCTACAACATTGTTTTATCCAATATATATATACATAATATTTAATTTGTACAACTTTTAAATTTTACAATTTTTTTATATATTAAATAAATATTTATTAAATAAAAAAATATATTAAATAATATAATTTTATTTATCATATTTATATANTTTTTTTTTTTTTCTTTTCAACAATGCACCTAAATTCTCATCTTTTGTGTTCTTAATTCTTTTATTTTATTTTGTATGAGTGAAAATCATTAGACTAATTTTTTATATTTTATGTCCCTTTTTTCTTGTCTCAAATTCTCATATTTTGATTCTTAATTTTTTTAAGAACTAGGATTATATATTTGATTGATGATTTGAAAGCATTGTTTAAATCTGAATATGTGAGAACACATAAATTTTTGGTGGATATAATGAAGAAGAATAATTGGAAGTTTTGCTCATCCCATTAGAAACAATGCATAAGTATAATACAATTCCATTACATTCGAAGGAGAAGATTAATGCAGTATAAAACAATTCCATAATCAGAAAAATTTGCAAGTATAAAATGGACAGGCAAAATTTTATCGGAGGCTCTTGTTATGAGTTTTGCAAATGCTTAGATTCGGTTTGTTTGCAAATACTTAGATTCGGTTTGTTCGATTTTCGTGATGATTCAATTCGGTCGACATTCTTATATATTTTTTATTTTTATTTATTTTTTTATAAAGCAGAAGAAAGTTTTAATTTATTTATTTATTTTAAACCATATATAACACTCACATAAAATGTTATCTAAGTCTACATCTATATAAATTATATGTGAAGATTAATATGGACTATGATTTGTTTAATCCCAACCATTAATAAAAACATACTAAATTGTTCATGCAACAATATCTAAATATAATACTTTACAATATTATACATAACATATTAAACTTTCTAGAATAATATAGAGTAATCAAATAATATTGATTATAGTATTTCTTTTCCCCCGAGCTCCATTTTTTTTTCCTTAACGATAAACTTCAATTAAAACTCAAAACAATAGTAGTTCATACAGGTATAACCAACCGGTTATAAGTGCACTAATCCATCCTAAGATCGACTAACACACACGAATGAAAACAAGTTTTCACTCTCGAGTGGAGCACAACCACAATAATTCACCAAATACATGTTTTAATGACAAACCACAAATCCACACAAAGGGATAGCATCTAGCAATGATAAAATATCTTCTCCATGGACCGTGGCCTTGCATGCACCTGTGTAAATTCCATCCAGTTTCATCTTAGTTTCTTGTAGAGGGATCGCGCCGGCTTTATTTGAAATCAACAAACCAAAAGAAAAAATCCAATGTATTAAAAGTGGCAATGATAACAAAAGGCAAGAAATTACCTAATGCAGTTCACACCAGGATGCATGGTCAAAAAGTCAGCCGATTTCGGAACTATTTCTAGTGATGCAGCAACTAATTACAAATCAATATATATAATTGGTGGCAAATTTTTATATATTTTATTCAGCCAGCATTTAATAATATGTGGCCCCTGCGATGTAGGGGAAAATAATATTACGATTGTATGATAAATTAAATATATAAATAATATTAATCATGATTTATCGACCGGATGGGTAGGGAATTGGTTTATCGACCAGTCCGGTTCGCTTAATAAAATGTTTGCTAGCAAACCGGTCAACACCAGTTCATCGAAAATATCGATATTTTTTAAATAAATTTTGTTACATTTAAAATTATTTTGAATATAAATAAAAATACATATTTAAATAAAATGTAGATTTATAAATCATTTATCATTTAGTTTAAGCATTGAAAATTTTTAAATTGTTTAGAAATTTAATTAAAATTTTGTATCTATATTGAAACATTGAAAACTTAGTTACCTCCCATGAAAAGAAACATAATTTTCTTCTCATATTTATGATATATGTACATATTGAAACATGTTTATCTTCATAGGAATGAGATTTTTATGCATACACATTTCATATGTTTGGGAATTAATCTTAAGATCGTTTAGATTCTCTTAAAAAAATCTATCTATATTTGCATTTATAAACTCTTTTCGGATTAAAAGTAAGGGCGTCATTTGATATGTTTGCAATTTACAGATTAATCACAATGTCGCCATTATGATTCATTTGTTTTGTTATGTTTTTATTATAGTTACAAAAGTTCCTTAATTATCATGATTTTTATTATGATTTTAATCATGATTTTTATGGGATTTTTTTAACTAAACCGATGTTAGGGGATAAAACAAATCTATACTTACCTTTGACTTTTCCAACAAAGGTAAAAAAATCGGTTCTTATTTTTTATCCCATAACAAATCTTTAATGTCAAGCCTATAAATACCAAAACAAATGTGTAATTAATGTCATTCTATTTCCAGCAAGCATTAATTACCTTTAACTTTTCTGCCTACTATTTCTAGTTAATAGGATGGCTTTATATAAGTATAGATATAGATATGAGTTCATTTAATAAAAATAGGTGTTCATTTAATAAAAATATATTCACAATTTAATAATAATATGTAACTTTCAGTTACAAAATTTATTTTGATAGATCCCATTTTTTATGGTGCCCATTTCTGTAACGTCTTTTCATGTCCTGAAATACAAAATATATATTTTTTTATATTGATACTATATATTTTTTGGTATCATATAAATATATATTTCACAATTATTTAAGAATAACTACAATAATCTCCATTTTCTATTGTTGTTATACAATAATAAAAAAAAATATTATTTGGGATATTACAAAGATACATCAAATATTTTGAAAAATCAAATTCCAGAATCACGAGTCGAAGAAGGTTAACAATAATGATTTGTTGTGATGGGATAAACCACGACAGGTTGCATATAAAGAAGTGTTTAGTAATATCTAGATTCGTTCTTTTTATTTTCTTTTTTTTTTTTTCTGTATGATTTTTATTCTATTCTGTAATTTTAATTAATTTTTCTTTTATTATCTCGCTTTTCATGCAAATACACGAAGTAAAACTAGTAATGGTAATCACGGAAGAACCCTGGAGGTTTGTCCTAAATAATTACAAAAGACCTACTAAAAAACAAGTACCCCTATATATGTTTAATTTAGTTCTAAACCATATGGGCCTATATATGTTCTGTGGCAAATTGTGCAATGCAGTGGGCACTTGCACAGCATATTAACTTACCAAAACAAGAAACAAAGCCTGTGCATTTTGTGTTAGCTAATGCGAGAGAGTTACTTTGAAACTATAGTTTGTATAAATCGTTAATCTGTTGAAGATGGATTTTTAAAAGAAGTTCTACTTTCTTGAGCTAATTTGGTACAAACAGTTGAGCCACGCTTGGTGCTTGTGTTATATTCTTCAATCCTTTTGCTTATATATAAACTATCTTATTACATTAATTTAAAGGGCGTGATACAGCATGCTCCAACACATGCATTGATCTACAAACTACTTGTCCCCTCAGACATTTTGAAGAGCTTAAAGCTCAATTACGTATCTTCAACTCGAAATTCAATGCAAATACTTCTCGTAGCAAAAGAGCCGTGAGTTTCTTTTTTTATTTTTTTATTATTATTATTATTATTTTTTCCTTCTTTTTTAAAGCAAAATCCAAAGGGCAGCCTTGCAATTTCAGAAGCCATGCTAAGGTTATTCTTTACTTGCCAAACCATGTCAACTCATAAACTTGCCTTCAATCCTCAATATTCTTTGTCCTTTGTCTTCTCCATTCTTTCTGCAATTTAAACAATTTATTCCCAGCTTATGCATGGCGTGGCAAACTCATAATAATGGCGGGAGGAGAATCAGGGAGGCCCTTCTGGTATACACCAACATGGGTCATCGCCATTGTTTGTTTTATCATTGTTTTCATCTCACTTATTGCTGAGCGTGCTCTTCATAATCTTGGGAAGGTAATCAACCCTAATATCTTTTTTTTTTTCTTTAAATAAACGAAATTTAATATATTTGCATATCCCGAAAAACACATTTCTCTATATACTTCTAAATTTCTCTTTCATGGCAATCAGTGCTTTAAGAGGAAGAACCAGGATTCACTGTATGAGGCACTGGAAAAAGTAAAGGAAGGTTTGTTATGGACTTGTTTAAACATATGTAGCTACTTTGTCTACTTATTAACCAAGTCAATTGCCTCTAAGTCGCTCTTTTTTTTTTTCTTTTTTTTCTTTTTTTTTTTCTCTTCTTTCATTCGATTTTTCAGAGCTGATGCTTTTGGGATTTATCTCCCTTCTAATGACGGTCTTTCAAGGTCTCATAAGTCGCCTTTGCATTCCTGAGCATCNTGAACCATTTCGGACAGGGACAAGTCCCATTTCTATCTCTAGAAGCATTGCATCAGCTGCACATGTTCATATTTGTCTTGGCAGTTGTGTATGTGTTCTTTTGTGCCTCAACCATGGTTCTTGGAGGAATCAAGGTATTAATCTGTGCCTGAAACAAACCCCTAAAACACAAATTACTCGATTAAAAGTGGAAAACCTGTGAAGTGATAATTTTATGCCAAGATTACAGACTGCTCTACACACTTACAGTTAATGCTAATTTTCAATTCCCAAAAATAATGCATACTTGATTGCTTATGCTGCAACGTGTCAACTGGTAAACAAACACAGATTTATTACCAGTTTTGTGCAATTCATTCCCTGGATTTTCAGGCCGTGATAAAATTCATGAGTACATATGTTGCAAGTGAAATGAAGTATATGATCTATGGTTATTTGCATGTCAAGTTACTAGTGCATGTGGGAATCCAAAATTTGTTCAATACAAAATGGATAACACAGGACAAGCTGACAAACATTTATAGTACGAATGTAAAATAGTTACTTGCTTCTAAGCTACATGTTACACAGATAAGTCGATGGAGACATTGGGAGCACTCAATTATGAATGAATCATCAAGACATCATAGAGGTATAAGAAGAACAAAATGATTTTTTTTCTTTTAACGTATTTAATTTTTTATTAGTCGAGGGAGGGAATTTTTTTAAGAGACATATATCCATCTTCCAAGCAATAATTTGAACTTCTGGTGCATAGTACATGTTCCACATGCACATCTACAAGAGTTCATGGCAAGAACAGGCAACTATTGGAGAAAATTCCGTGTCGTGAGTTGGATAGTAAGTTACCTCACAACTTCAGCTCATTAGCCAAATGACAAATGTTGAGAGAAAATTTTCATCCTTATATGTGTGCAGGCGGCATTTTTCAAGCAATTTTATGGATCAGTGACTAGGTCTGACTATATAGCCCTACGTTCTGGATTCATACGTGTAAAACTCTTGTCCTAAGACTAGCGCCTTATTCTGCCAAAGGAGTAGAAAACTGAATCTGATCTCACTTGGTACAGGAACATTGCCCGAGCAACCCAAACTACAATTTCCACAGGTATATGCTGAGGACACTGGAGGAAGATTTCAGAAGGATTATAGGTGTAAGGTGATAATAACATGATAATTATAATTGAATACCAATCTATAAAATGTTATAAATTCATGTTGATACTAGTGACCTCATCTTGCACAGCTGGTACTTGTGGCTGTTTGTTGTAATCTTCTTGCTTGTAAACATCGCAGGTATACCCCTTATTTAGACATTTCTTGTATTCATACAATAAAGAACTCTAGTTTTTCTCACCAAAGCACTAACTCTTTGACATTCATGGTGTCAAAATTTGCAGGGTGGCATACATACTTTTGGCTATCATTCTTACCTCTAATAGTAAGTTAAAATTTCATGAAATTGGGGTAATTACAATGACTACCCCTGAAGTTTACCCTATTTTCGACAAAAAAATGAAACAAAAAAAAATCCAACTAGCTTTCCTGGAAATACCTCCTTCAACTTCAAGTAATACAAAGTCCAACTGGGGAATACAGTTAGCATTTTATGTACTTTGAAAATGCGGGATTCATTACTTTGGGCGTGTTAAGTTACAGATGAAGTTAGGGGTAGTTTATTGCAATTACATAGAAAAGAATCTGAACAGTTTGAAAAGGAAATTAAGAAAATTGAAAAGAATTTATAGGTACCTGATCATTGGTCGTGTATTTCAGCTGCTGCTAATTGTTGGAGCTAAATTAGAGTATATAATAACTCAATTAGCCAAAGAAGCTCAAGAAAGTGCTGAAGGAACACTGGTTAGGCCTTCTGATGAACTTTTTTGGTTCCAACAGCCGGTTCTCGTCCTATACTTGATTCACTTCATCTTATTCCAAAACTCGTTCGAAATAGCATTCTTCTTGTGGATTTGGGTGAGTAGACATGCCCTTCATTCACTAAATGCAGCCACTATACCAGAATAAATACACTTCATAACGTTCAATTCTTTTACGGTCCAGAGCACGTATGGCTTTGAATCTTGCATCATGGAGAAGTTGAATTTCATCATCCCAAGAATTGTTGTTGGGTATTATTTCATAAGCCAAAGACAAAGATAACTGCTATATATTATTTGATATCATTTTTCATGGTGACTAACTTTTTAGCAAATTATCATTGCAGGATCATTGTGCAAGTGCTCTGCAGTTACAGCACTCTGCCTCTATATGCTTTAGTTTCACAGGTATAACTAATAAGTTTCGAGTAAGAGTGCAAGACAAAAACTCATTAATTAATGGGAGAGTCAATCACATGTTTTCAAATAGTACTATTAAAGATACATAAAAACTTTGGTGGATCGGATATAAGATTTTTTCATTCTTGTTTAGTTAGTCAAGATTTATCTCATTGAATTATATTTGAAAAAAAAAATCAGAAAAATATATTATTCATTCTATCTCTTGTTTTCATACAATTCTACCATGGCAATTAAAAATGTAAAATTCAATTATTACTCGTGATGGGAAAAGTTGCATGCACAAACAGATTTATCATGCAAGAAATATGCCAAAAACTGTTCCATCAGAGTTTCGCGTACTTACCGAATTATTTGGCTCCCAAATGCAGATGAGCAGCATGTTCAAAGAAACTTTGTTCGCACAATTCACAAAAGAGCTGCTTCGGACATGGGCTTCAGACACAAAGCACGGTTCTTCCAGAACTAATGGAAGTATAAATAGGCTGACCTTTGAATCAACTAATTCCACTTGCCTCGCTCAGCAAATGGCTATGGACAGTGCAACTACATCATCTGAGATCGAACTTTCTCGTCCAGAAAATATTAGTAGACCATCTTCCTTCAACAAGTACTAAATAATTCAACATATTTTTTATTCTTCAGCTCCTGACATGGCATAAGGTAAAATATAGAACTTTCCTTGTCACAGACTATGAGATACTGAAAAAAAGATGGTATTATTTCTAACAGAAATTACAAATAGAAAGCATTCAGTTTTTTTTTGGACAAACATTTACATCAAGAGAATGAAGAGATCTAAACCAACATGAAAGCTACAAACAAGACAATAAATTGAAAAAACTAGGATTAATGTTTGTATATAAGTTTATCCCATTCAAAAATCTCTACTGTGCAATGGTGGAGTCTTGCCCCTTGGACTCTGCTTTAAGTTTGTTCAAAGTTCTCTTTGTGTAGACTCCAAAAGCAACTATAGTGACTATTGCAAAGATGAAGGAGATGGCATTGTAAATAATCTCCACTGGAGTCATCACATGGTTCCCGTACTTGACATCTGCTAATGTCCTCAACAGCCTCCCACTGCATAGAACCAAAAATAACTTAGCCAAGCAAAGACATAAGCTACAGCTCTTGACAAAGTATTCTTTTATACCTCACATAATGATAATCAAGTGTAAAGTAGAGAAAAAACTAAACAGCTAATCAAACGATTACGACAATATAAAGGTTGTTCATGCAGTTGAGAAAGCAAAAGGCTACTATTGTGTGTGTGTGTGTGGAGAGAGAGAGAGAGAGAGAGAGAGAGGACCTGTAGATGTAAATGAAGGCTTCTGGTATCATCCCTACTACTGATCCACATAAATAAGGCCAGAATCTCACACTTGTTACAACAATTGCATAATTGAAGATGGGGTATGGAAATGGTGAATTCCGAAACAGTGCAACAACTTTAAACTGATGGAACCAACTTCCTTCCCCAGCCAATCTGATCATAGCAGCCTTTTGAGGCCATCTCTTCAGCCATTGCTGTTAACTCATCAACAAAAAAATAAGAGTAACACGTAAAAAATCAGAGAGTGTGAAACGAAGACAAAAGTTGAGAAATGCAGGCATGCTAAATTCAAATACACAACTCTGAAAAGCATCACCATGAGTTTTCTTATTTTCTTACATGAATACGATCACGAAAGAGGAAACCAATTAAGTATGGCAGGATCATTCCAATGGTTGTTCCAATCATGATTATAACAAATCCCAGGCCATAACCGAAAATCATACCAGCTAGCCACATTGAGGGGCCGGAAGGAATCAGAACCACAGGGAATAAAGCCAATGAAGCAACAAGCACAAGAGCGAGCACTGGAGGACCAAATGCCGTGGCTTCTAATCGCAAGATTGGAAAAAGAACCTACCAGAACGTACATTAAACTAACATGTCAGGCGGCTTAGATTAAGCAGCTCATGTAATATAATTCTGGACGCATATAACAGAAGTTGTACATGAGCCCGACTACTCTGACAAGATAACTAGTATTGGAAGAATCAAAATGTCCCATAGTCTTGAGAGTTTTTACTTTTTATCGACTATTTAGAACTTTTTATGACAGTCTGATTTCAGAAATGCATTCCCTGCTAATGCAACTCATTGGCTGGCTCACACATTGTACCTTAATATCTTTGCAACCATTCAAAGTACAGAAAAATACATAATTATGGTGCTCATTAGGGTTTTATTTGCTAGGGTTAGTATTCCATTAGTGAGCTCTCGGCCTTTTGTACGAGGCACAAGAGAATTATTATTATTTGTCGGTTTTTAGCTTGGGCGGGAGATTATTTCCCAAGGAGGACCTCGTCTTCATTTTTCATTTTCAGCATAATAATATTACGCGCTTTACATTAACCCTTCACTCTATATCAAATAACATCAAAACATTGTATAAACACACGGAAAAAAACAAAAAAAAGCCACATGATTCAGAAACTGTTTAACATCCTCTATCAATCTTGAGCCCAAAGCTAAAGACAATGGAGGGAAGTTGGGGTAAGAAAATGGAAGGCAAAGGTTTCCATAATAATTTGTCAAAAAAGGCAGCTGTATAAAACTCCGTGCAACCCGACCTTTGACCATGTAACCTTTTCTTTCACAAGCCTCTGGTTCATTCAATCTATTTGGTTACAAGTATTAAATTCTGAATCACTATTGACCATCAATATCTTTACACAGTTGAAACTGTAGAAACGTGTATAATGGCAGAACATTATCATCAATAAACACTGCTAACATGACCTTCATATGTCATCCTTAAAGAAGCACCCTGCATAGGCAAATCGGACATAGGTTTTCTAACACTGATTCCCTAAAATGGTATCTTTTTAAGATTGCTCACCTCCCCATTGTCATATTTTGCATCTTATTTTCTGTAAAGCCTGAGTGTTTCAATAAATTTAGGATACGGCCTATAATATAACCAAAGAAGTTTCCAATGTACGTATCCTTTCACTGAGGAGCCAAAAATAGGACTGTAAACTAATAAAATGGTTTGATATACCTTCTCTAAAAGAAAGGGTAGTCCCCATTTCACAAATATAAGAAGAAGAATTCCTGTGAACAAACACAATAATATGGCCTTCATCCACCATCCGAGAGACTTCTTTCTTTCCTGTGTTCGCGATTCTGAATTATCTGGTTCAGGCGTCCTTGGTTCATTAGGTGTAATCAATCTTACACAAATACTCTCCTCCCCTACTCGAATCCCATTAACATCTCTTCTTTCTAACACTTCAGTTGAATCTGGCATCTTCTTTCAAACACCAGATGTCTGTCAATTTGAAAGAAATTTTGCATCAGAATCTCTAGAAAACACGTAGGACGGGAGATCAACTTATAATCATCCATGCATGATCAAAAAGAATGTTCACAACTCATATCATAGATTAACTACTTAATTTGGCACTTCTGATCTACAAAAGATCTTCAGAAGAGAACCAGATTTAATTTGGAAAAAACCCATCACATATAGCTGAAATTAAAGAAACACAATAAGAGCATTGGATACAAAAGCTATACTACTAAGAAACATTTGGGAAATAACAACAGCGGCATGGGGAAAAATGCACGAGAAGCTCAAGCAGTGAGGATTGGGCAATGTTCTAGAATAATCAAATAAGTATAAATAAACACCTTTCATATTTGTATCTGCTTCAAACCTTACAATTGCCAAGAATTCCACAAAGTTACAAAGTGCTGAGACAAAATGTCTACATTTACTTGTCTCATAGACACTACTACTCCTAAACTGCAGCATATGCAACTTCGACTCTGAAGTAGACATTACCATAGAAAAGTAGACAAGCTTTCTGCATCTATAACTGTTCGAAGTTGGCTTTTCTGTATGAGATTGTACATCTTACTGCTCAAGAAACCGAAAACAGTGTCTTTCATCATGCAGAATATACTAAATTGTGACCATACAGTTGACGTGTTACAACAATAAGCACTTAATTTTGAATGCGTGGAGACATTATCAGTTTCAAATCTAGAAAAAAACTCAATCTTTTCTAAGTTGAAAGCCTCAATATGTAGGGCGGAGAACTTTTCCGAGGCTGTCACAAGTCACAGCACTCATCCCCAAGCACTTAGCTGCAAAATTGTTGCAGATTACTGAAACTATTAAATACGCCACACATTATGAGATTTAACAAAATAGTGCGTCAGCACTTTATTGCTAAACCTCCAACTATTTAACACTTAGAACTAGAACAGTGGCGCCTTGCTCTTTCTAACATCCCCATTTTTTGGTTAAGAGTATGCACCAAGACCTAAAAGATCTTAAATTTTCCCCCTTTCCAGGGACTTCGCATTATAAACGTTTCTAAACTTTGAACATTTAAATAAAATAACAAAATACACTAATCTGCAAATCATGGAATTGAACAGCCAAAGAGAACAATTTTACACTTCCCCGAAATAGAACTGATCAAATAAATTAAGACGAATTCAGGAGAAAATACAGTTCAGATTCCTAGACTGAAAAAACTTGAGGAAACNAGAATTCAATCACGTTGAGGACTTACACAGAAATTGGAAAGATGATCAAGGGCTTGCCCACTGTTCCTTCAGTTGTTTCAGATTATTATTTATTCAGGTCAACCTATGCTGCGTTATCCCAGCAGGATATTATTATTTTGCGTGTTTGCTATGTTGTATTAAATGAGAATCGTGTGTTTTCCTTGTTGGTTGAGTACAACGTTAAATCTGGAGCCGAGAGTCGCGTCACCCGTGGAATCCACATGTTCTGGGTGTTTTTTTGGATTGGACAAAAACTCACTTAAGCTACATTTGGGAACTAAATAGGTTGGTTTATAATTTATTTGATTAGTTTATTAATTTTATGTATGTAAATAAGTTTCGTTTGGTAAAACAAGTTTTTTTTTAAAAGGTTCGAACTTATCTTGTAAGTTTTTTTTGGTAACTTTTTAAATAAGCTTGTTGAAATTTTTATTTTAACTAGCTTATCAGCTAATTTTACCAAAACACTATTATCGTATCAATTAGTTTTTGAGCTATAAGCTCAAAATTCACTTAAAGGTTATAAGCTAACTTATCAGTTAAATTTACCAAACATAGCCTTGAGGTTTTGGTCAGGTTGGGGTTGAGTTTCGTCATCCAAAATATGATTGGGTCGTGCTTGGATATGCCAAAATAATAATAATAATAGTAATAAAATGCTTGACCCATTTACCCGAATCCAAATAAAGTACAATTTTCTTTTTAGAAATATACTCCGCCTACTATTACTTTTAACATTATTTGTGAAAAACGAAACCACACAGGTCGACACCACGCGGGTCGAATACCATGCAGGTCGAACACCACGCACGTCTACACCATGCAGGTCGAACACCACGTAGGTCGATACCATGCGGGTTAAACACCACGCAGGTCGACACCACGTAGGTCGACACGACGAAGACCGATACGTCACAAGTTGACGCACGACGGCACGATGTATCGCGTTCAAGCGTGATATCTCAAGCGCGACACCTCAAGCGCGAGGATCGTGCTCGGACACCTCGAAAGTAGAGGTCGAGCTCCAACACCTCATACGCGAGGATCGAGCTCAGACACCTTGAACGCGGGTCGAGCTCTGATTCCTCATGTGCGAATAACAGACCGACGTTGACGCCTCGCCGGTCGATGCAGCACAGACCGACGCCCCGTAGGTCGACACTTCTTACGTTGGTACCTCACAGGTCATACGTCAACGCCTCGTTGATCGATGCAACGCAGACCGACGCCCTGCAGATCGACGCTTTGTACGTCGATGCCTTGCAGGTCGATAGATCGACGCCTCTCCGGTTGATGCAGTGCAGATCGATACATCGGTCGATGCATCGTAGACCATGCATCACAGATCGACGCCTGACAGGTTCTGTGTATTGTAGGTCGACACATCAAAGACCAAAGATCACGCGTCGAACACGTACACATCATGAACCATGCGTTTACCACACAAAATGAATCTTACACATCGAACCTCACACATTGCTTCACAAGACTGAGGCTCGCAGGTCGAAGGTCATAGAGCGAGGCCCATACACAATCCTGTTGCGTATCGAGCTCTCAGGATCGATCCCTGACTACGCATGATCGAGCTCTTAGGCTCGATCTTTATCTCGCCTGATTGAGCTCACATGGGCGGGCGATCGACCCACGCGGGCGCGCGATCGACCCGCGCGATGTGATCGACCTGCGCAAGGTGGTCGCACCGTGCGATGTCGTCGACCCACCAAGTAATGGAGGGTTGACGATTAATACCTATAGTATCGCAGTGATGTGGGTTCTCGATAGTCAAATGGGCGTAATGACGATGGGTAATCGAAGAAGTGAGGAGCACTATGTTGACAGACCCTTTGTTCCACTCCCGGACTAACGGTCCCCCAATGCGGATGCTTCTTAGGCTTACGTCGTTGGGAAAGCGGCTTATGTAGCCACTTCGACAAAAGGTGGAAGGTGTCGGGTAGAGGCCGAACAAAGAAAAACCTCTTCCTTCTTGAAGGAGTGTTAGGGGGTAGCGATAACAAGGCGCACGAACATTATATTTACGATTAAACGAGCTTCGCTTTGTATACTCGTAAATAGGGGGAGTAGTTGATAGAGATTATAGTACCGACTCGGGTTAATCCTAATGGCCGAACTGGATGAGAAGGACTGTGTGGGGTTCGACCTGCTCGAACGGTCGAGCATATACCCGGGGTCAATTGGGCGTCGACCCACTCAGACGGTCGAACTTGGGCCCGGGTCGATTGCAAGACAATGGTGAGATGAGCTTAGTGTCGACCTATGCGCCCCAGCATCAACCTATGCGCCCCAGCATCAACCTATGCGCCCTAGCATCAGCCTATGCGCCCCCAACATCGG